GTAAATATATACGATAAGAATTATTCTACCATTAAGAAAATCATCTAACTAATACAAGTGCTATGAAAGTAATATGTTTAAAGATTAATTCATAGATTTAGAGCCATTTTGAATTTTTATAGAATTTTTCGAATATATAAAGTTGAAGTAAACATAGAAAATATACTTAGGTCATACCGAAAATAGTGGCGAAGATGCTTTAATTCTTTATAAAAAGCTTTAAAAAATTTTCCCTACACATGGTCTTATAAAAAAAAAGAATGCTCTACATTTCTCTAATATTTGATCACTAGCGAGAACCCGTGCATACTGCACAGCAGATGTTTTTTTCTTTAATGTACGACCTCAGAAGTTTAGCCTTTCACTCGGTAACAGGCATACAACACTCGACATTATGCACATACAAGCCCTACAGCATGATATCCTTATATCGCTAATATCCCATGTAATCTTACGACCTTATAACTTTATATTTCTTGCAACTATTGTAGCCCTACGCGCTTATAGTCTTACTCCTTTATAGCCTTACCCCCTTACAGTCGTCTTACTACCTTATAGCCTTCGCTTCTTATAGCCTTATTCGATTTTCAATCTGTGACCAAGCGCAGACAGACAGATACTGAACATAAATATATAGATACTTGATGGAATTTGCCAATGTTGAGATCAGGTTTTCGCTATTAAAAGGTAATTTCCATCTAAAACTTTACTGTGATAGTCGCATTGCTGAGGTTTTGAATGAGAGGTTTCTAGAAGATAAATCTTGATGAGTAACCGAGATTCGACCGTCAGAAAATGATGATATTGTTGAACTCTTAACTCTTGTGAATGCTAACTGATTGAAGATGGGTGATACTTATGATTAAGACTCACTGAAGATTATATCCGTCGCAAATGTTCCTTCAGAATAGCTGAAAATAACGCTAATGCAGCCGAGGAATTTACCCATTTTTTACGAGGTATGTAATGAGATATCTCGTTTCATGCTACATTGCTCTGAAATACGTTTACAATAGAAAATTTTAACACTCGCACCCTGCTTCAATGAGTAAGACTCGTCGTTTTTCGGTGATTCAGAAATCTGACATTGTTTTACTCATAAGAAAATCAATAATAGATACTCCTTTGAATAAATATTACTGACTTCATCTATGGAGTACTCTACACTCAGAGCCCTAAACAGGTCTCTTAGTCTGCTTCCTTGTCTGTTACAAGCACAGGGCGTGCTTTTCATGCATGTGGTCTTCACAGACATGCGAGTTTGATCATCCAATGACACGAGCTACAACGCCTGCCTGCCTATTTTCCTTGCAATGTGGTACAATAGTATCATTGTCTGAGCTCAAAGTGTTACTAACAATAGATCAAATGAAGCATGTATGTGACTGGGAGTTGACAATTTATCTCCCATCATTTTCAGCAAATCACGATATACCTAATGCTATTGTGTGCGAGATTAGAATTCACAGGATTTTTTCCAACCTTATCGAAGTGGCTGGATACCAGTGGGTTAAAATGCCTCATTTAACCGACAAAGAAAACCGGCGAAAAACCGGTTCATTTAAAAATCAATTAAACAACTAGTACTTCCAAGAAAAATTTATTGCCATAGTACCGCGCAGAAATAGTGTCAAACTCATATAACGCTTCTAGTTTTCAATATCAACAGTTTCTATTTTAGTTTCTCACGATTCATTCACACTAATACGATTGTCGGTTCTGTTTTTTTTAAATGCTAAATACCGTTGCTTGAGTAGCTGTTGTGAGTGTGGGTATGGGTGCAAAGGTGAATAAAAAGATGAGCTACACTGACACTCCCGCCAACCTCAGGTGCTAAGCCAATATTCTGAACTAAGGTGGTTGCTTTATACATTCTGCGCCCTGACGAGTTTTTTGAAAGATGTATTTTGCTCTAATACAAAAATTTGTTCGTTTTTCGGATGAAACATTTTAAAGCATATATCTTATTTTGTGAAATCCATATGTATTTTATTTTCTTCGAAGAAAACATGTTCCACAAAACAAGATATATATATGCTAAAATGTTTCATTCCAAAGACTAATAGATTTTGGCATCCGGAAAAATATGTTTCCAAGCTTTCTCAGAGTAGCAGCGGCTAAGCTCCTGTCTTTGCGACTGGTGCTGTTCATCTCTTCACTCTCATCAACACCAATAATCATATCTTTCTGTATTTTCTCTTTCATTTGAATATAAATATAAAGTATTGCCTTCGTGAAACACTCATAAGACAAGATACGATACACTGCCAATTACAAGAAAGTATCCCAACAGTAAGCAGCAATAAACAGAATATGAAATAGACAAACCGTCAAGAAAAAATTCGAGAGTAAGGATACCACAAAATCAAAGTAAGTACTTTTCTTCTCACAAGCATTGACGCATGCATCAATATTCTCTCACGAGGGAACCGTTCGAAGTGATTCAAAGCTTTTAAGCCGATATTTTGCCCATAAGTAGAGTCCAATGAGATTAGAAAAAGCCCAAAAGGACAAGGATCCATGGGCCTTTCTTCTCGAGTTATGGTCATTTTACTGGGTTTATCACCTATGACACGATATTTACCGAAAAATCANTATATTTAAAAACGAAATTCACATATATCTATCGTAGAGCACCATAAGACCCCCAGGTTCTATATAATCCTATCGAATTATACACAGTATATGGTCCCTCAGGGCATAAAAACCCAATGAAAATTTGACTTCCTATATACCGTTCGATGCGCCTTCATATTCTCTACAAAACTATATACAAGACGTTTTTGTTCCAACTAGGTTACAATATCCGACAGGGTCCTTTAGTAGTTTAGCGATGAGTCTGATAATTTGACCTGAGCACGGTTAGAATTTCTAAATGATAATAGCAAGAAAGCAATGTGGGGTACTCTTTGGCTGGCTGGGTCTCTATATATAAACTATTTGCATTAATAATTTCATGAATTATTTAATAAAATGATAAATAAGAATAGAAAAGATATACAGTTTACTCAGCAAGAGCATGATTCTCTAAATCCGTGGCCCGTACACCATTCTTTCGTCACCAGATTAACAAAAAGTGAATAGAAGTACTATATTTTTGTTGCTTTCGATTCGATATCAGATAATTTCAAGAAATTGATAAATATATATAATAGCAATGATGTCTACTGATTTCGTTGATTTCTATTGATTTCTATTGATTTCTGTTGATTTCTTTGATTTCTATTGATTTCTGTTGATTTCTGTTGATTTCTTTGATTTCTATTGATTTCTGTTGATTTCTTTGATTTCATTGATTTCAAATTGATTTCTAGTAGTAGAAGTCAGTTTGTTCCCCCTTGGTACGAACAATGAAGTCTTTTATTTACAAAAACAAACGTATGTTGACTTTTTCATTGAAAATCAAGATGAAACTATTAACATAGACAGCTGCCAAAGAAGTTTTTCGATCTGTATGATATGAGATCTCGAGACAAAGAGAAAATTTTCTGACATGTGTAAATGTTGAAGTAACCTAAACGAAATATTTTTTAGAAGTCAATTTAAAATTTAAAGTTAGTTCATCCAAATACTAGCACAATACAAACCACATGAAAAATGAACTTCTTTTGTAGCATAGGAATCACATTATCGTGTCATTTTCGACTACGGTCAATAATTCTTTAAAATTTGTTACTGTTGTTTCTATAGCCTCTTGATATTTTGCTCTTTGATGATCAAAATCTACAATGATCAATTGATCAAGAATAGTCTTAGTCATAGCTGCAAAACGTCGTGATGCTTCTTGATAGTTGTAACGATATATCATATATTTGAACATCATTTCGACGAACATATTCTGGATCATTAATATTTGAATTGGCGACGACAGAAGATCGCTTCTTAGAGAAAAAGAACCTGCAGAAAATAAAAAACATTTTTCATGACAAATTATCAAACAATGACATGCTTTTTATAAAAAAGATTTCTACTAGAAGAATACTTTTGAAAATGAAGAACCAAAGTAAAAGCTTGGCTTTTTTCTTGAGGGAGGCCGGAATTGCTTTATGCCGCTCTACTTTGGCACGTTCCTCATTTGTTCAAGAAGTAGTAAGAGGAATTCAAGAAATCTACACAATTGATGATCATTTTACCCAAACGATCTCATATTGAAAAATATCAAAAGTCTCCGAGATCAAACATCAATAAATTTTCTCGAATTTTGTATTCGACTTCATCGAATAGTTTTATCATTTCCGCTATAGGTTGGCGTCAGGTTTTAAAATTAACTTTTCATGAGGATGAAGGACTATTGAGTACAAAAGTAAAATCAAATAAAACAGGTTCACTATGATCTCGTAATCAAATAGACTATGAAAGAATATTTGAGATTGAAGTAATTCTTATCGTTGAAAGTTGAATAAACGAAGAATTAACAATGTCGTCTAAACAACGTTGGGAAAATGATACATTTGTGGCAACAATATCGAAAGTTTAACATAGAAGATATTGGACACACTAACAGTCAACTTCTATTCTTCCTGCATATTCTATCAAATTTTTTTTGTGAAGAGTACAGTTATCTACAAATATATAATCAATAGCATGATATTAACGTCAGAAATACGAAATAAGACATTTTCAAGCGTCTTCGAAGAGAAAATAATAAAATATTAATGATAATTTATTGCAAAATATATTTCTCCTAGTCCCGTTAGTTTATCGATAGATTATAGATCCAAAAATTTTCTTCTTGTTGTTTTTAATCTGAAATGGAACAAATCCTACTATGACTTAATCTGTTATGGAATTTTACCTGTTAACAAGACCATACTTTTGTTTCCTTTAAGAAAAGCTTTTCTCGTGTTGCTCTGACTTTTAATCATTGCACCGTTTACATAACGCTATAAGCTCTTTATCTCTATCCATTGCTTTTTCGGTGGCTCTCAGCAGTGACATACAAGTGTCACGAAATTTGGATTAAGATATTTGTAAGTTTACTATTCAAGGAAAGGAAGATGTTAGTCTGAATACTCACTTTTATTCATAGACAATTTTGGAATGTAGAAACTTGTGGAGAAGCATAAAACAGTGAAGAAGAGATTAAATAAAGTTTCATCGGTCTCAAATTGAGCAACTAATTTGAAACGTTCATCCATCATCGGTGTACCACAACAACCCTCTGCAGCCATTCTATATGCCGGATCACTATACAAATCGGTCTGTCGATAAGTAAAATTCGCCTTGCTAACGATGAGAATTTCCATATTGCGTTCAAGAAGAATTTTACAATCGTTTAATGGCATAGTTGAAAAATGTGGAATGCCTTGGATAAAAGGAAGAATAGGTTGAAGAATAAAATTGAAAATGTTTTGTAAACTGTTTAGAGCAGTCTTCATGCGTACTTTCGGTGGACTTGCAACATGAGTAGTGATGGCTTGTCGAACATTTGAGATTTGTGATTTGGCATTGAACGAATTGATCACATTGGAAAGAAGATACCATTGTTCGATGCTCAATGAGGATCGATCATTGTTGAGCAGATCGAGTGGACGAATAGCATAGGGTCTTGACGGCAGATTTATGGAGACAAGTGTGCCTCGACGATTGGCATCTTTTGAACTGCATGGTTCAGAAGATTGTTTGTTTTTTTGTCGAGAACGACGTGGATGTAGAGTAGAAACTCCATGTGAGGAACGAAATAGTGCTCTGCTCATTCCAACTTCAAAGCACTTTTTCATTCGACAATAGCGACATAATCGTCGGTTGTTTAGATTGATAGCGCACTTGTCATCGAATTCACACTTTTCCTTGCTCTGATAAAAATAAATGAAATGAATTGTTTTGAAAATAATGAAAAGTGACTTACCATATTAAAATGTTCGTGACGACGAAAGAACATTTTGCAAGAAGAACAGGAAATAGAGCCAAAATTCATTCGAGCTGGACTATATCCACAAACGGCGCATTGATTGACTTCATCGACGTTACTAGTTATATTAGGCTTACGATTATTGTCGTAATATTCCATCAGGCGGAAAGAAGAAAAAGAATCAAATTTATCTATTTGATAAAATGAAATTCAACGATAATATACATAAAGAGAAAGATGAGAATAGGACGTGTATGAGAAGCATCGTTTTTTGCCCATCATTTAAGACTTAAGAAGTAGGAGTTGATATAATTTTTTTTCTTTTCCTTTCCTGTTGGATGTTTATCTATTACCGGAGGTCGAAACGAAATGAACAGAGAGAGGAGCTAGATGTAAGACTGCGTCAGAAACGGTGCACAATTACGTGATAAAGGAAAAAAACTAAAGCCTTTTTTTTGCGTCGTGTTTTTTCTTTTCATCGGGCGATTAGTATTTCTAACACAACCAATGATGTGTATTATAGTACTAAACAAAGAAAAAAGAAAGAAACAACAGTTGTTCTACTTTTGAATGCCTATTAATACGGGCAAGACATTTTTTTTCCAGATAGAACTACTTTTCAATGTGGGTACTTCTTTAGATCAGGGACATCATTCGACATTTATCATGTACGTTTAGCTGGAAGGTAAAGTAACAATAATTGGTGCATCTTTAACAGGTACTATATATGACGAATGCGTAAATATAGGGACTTGACTTGCATCTAGATAGGCAAACTGTCTTGTTTCCTTCAAATACCAGGATATATTTTTATGGGTATCAATTGAACAGCTGTACCTACAGTCACATCCAAGAATCTCTAATAGTGAGCAACATTTGCTAACTTCATTTACTCCAAGCTGCACTGGGAATGTTAAAACTGTTGTTTTTTTAAATTGATAGTCGAGTAAAACGAAACAAAGTTAAAATGATTTTAACGTGAATTTTAGCTATTAATCATTTTACTTTGATTAACTTTTTGATTTTTTTGAGTAGATTTAATTAAGTTGAAATCGTAGTCGTTTTGATTTAGTTGACATGTTTGATAAAATAAATTTCAATATATTGATTTCATCGTTATTTACTTTAAAAACTTTGTATTTATGGATTATTCTTTGAGTGTTTTTTTTCAAGTCTTCATGTGCAAGTTATATTTTCTCGTATTTATCCGTCAATGATAAATGAAACGGTGTATTTTTTAACTGTGCAACATTTGCGAGGTTTCTCAATATTAACAACTACGAACGAAACGCAGAAATTACAATCATGTTTATTGAACATATTTACCAAGCATATATGATTTCGAATTAAAAGCACAGTAAAACCTTTTCTAATATTAGTGTAGCATCGAGACTTTGTAAAAAGTACTCATTATTCGAAGGTTTTCAGTAGTATTTTTCAACTGAGGAATATTCACTTGGAATCGCTTGTCGGCTGCATCAAATGATATTTTTCTTCTTGGCATTAATTTATTGGTTTTAATAATCATCCATTTTTTTGAAATAACATCTTGTTTTTGCGACACTAAACTAGTCTTGTATTAAAAGAAAATTATGAAATGTATTTTGAATAATGTGTGATCCTTTTTATCAATATACACCTTCCTTTTATCTATTGCTTGAATAAAATGGGATTGATGTTGCTTTTGCCCACTCAATAATATGGTCAAAAAAAAAAACCAAGACTTAATATGTCATTAAGTTTCCTTTTTCTCCTATGCACTCATTTGACTAATCAAACGGTTCTGTACAAGTCGAGTTCGACAAAAACATATCAAATGAAGATTCTGTTAAAATTACAGTTTAACTCTTATGTGAAAATGATGAACTTCAACAATTTTTTTTTCTTCTGCTGCTTTTGACGATCTCTCAGAACATTCTCGACTTTTCATTGTGCCTGTTTCAAAAAACAATACTTTAAATGAATCTTCATTTGGTGTGTTTTTGTCGAACTTAACTTGTGATGTTCCTTCCACGACCATATATAACTCATCGGTTATTTAAAAAACTATTTTTTATATTCTATTCGAAAGACTAATTTAAAAGTATACACGAGTATCACATACAATTGAATGCTGTACTTAATTTTAACTAAGGAATAGTTTCATCACTTGTTTTTTAGAAATCTAAACTATTTATTTCGCTGTGTCATCATAACCGGAAAAATATCGGAAAATTCTAATAAAATTGACACAAGGATTAACTGGTGCAATTTCTGTTTATTTTTAATTAAAAGCTCGAATATTTATTTTTTGTCGATGCTAAATAAGAAAATAATACAAAAAATAATGACTAATCGAGAAAAAAATGTTGTCACTATGAATTATATTCATATATTCATTTTTTGGATTGATTTTGTGGTTGTTGTTCAAGTTGTTGTTTTAATGCAGCTAATTGTTCAGCTTCTTGTGCATGAAAATAAGCATTTTCAGCTGCACGACCTCGTTCACTAAATGCTCCACCTGCTTGACCAATAGAACCAGCTTGTTCTCTCAAATTAAAATTTTGTTCATTCGATGACATTGTACGTTTAATTGAAGATCTAAAAAAAATTATTTTACAATATAAATAAAATAATATTATTATCTGAATAGAAGAATATATATAAAGAAAGATGAAGATAAATAATAAGAATTTAGTTTTTGTACTACTCTATAAATATGTTTTGTTGTTCTTATTCATGCTTGTTTTTTTTTCTATCTCATGCAATATTATTTTAGATTTGTCGATGATTCTGTTCTATTACGTTCTTGCATGACGTCAAGTATGATGATGGCGGTACATGATGATGAATCAGATATGAAATTTTGTGAAACAAAAGAACTTTCGAGATGATTGAAGTGAATAAAACTGAAAAATTAAATATCGTATTTGACACACTTAACAATTGATATAATATGAAAACATTGCTTCCGCAGAATAATTATTTTGTAATTTAATGAAAATTAATATTGTATGAATGTTTAATTATATATGTTATATATCAGCTAATGTGTTAGCTTCTATAGATAAGTCAATTGTATAACAGAAATTAAGTTTTATCAGTCAAATGAATGGATATTCTGGTCATAGAATTAGAAGAAAGAAGCAGGATGATTTTTCTATCCTAAATTTTTCCTTACATTCTGCTTTTCTCTCTGGCAATTTTCTGTTATGGATAGACAACGTTTTTAATTGTTCGTTGAAACAGATTGACGATGTAAAAACGAAGTTTCATCTGACTTGATTTAAGATATACTTTACTATACAATAAATAAGCAAAATGCTTTTTCGAATTTGTAGGGTATCATTAGAGTACTGTTTCTTTTCATTTGCTGTAAATTGCACAACATAGTAGTTTTTCAAAACTATAAGTACCTTGGGTACTTTATTTTTGCTTGATCTGCTTAACAAAAGTGACATCAGAAACACAAGAGGCTCTTTCATACGATTGGTCAACAAGTCAAACCAACAATAAAAAGCATTTTTTTGCTTGTTTATTTTCTATCACGTAAGGTCGGTCATACATAAGTGGTTACTGAATGTTATGATAGAATAATTAATTTTTTTTTTAAATCTATATAAAATAGATTTTTCTGTTTAATTTTTGAAACTTTTGTTTGATCAATATATAATTCGAATTTTTTTATCCAATTTTTTAAACATGAATTTTTTTGAAGGTGCTTATAATAACCTTGAATTCTTCGTCATTTATCATTCAATCAATGGATCTTTTTTTTTGTATGATCTTCACAAAAGTTAAGCTAAATTCTTTCACGATAAAAATCAACTGATCTTCTATGTCTCAAGATCATGTGCGAAAAATAAGTAAGAAAGTTATAGATAGATTACCAATTAGTCAAAAATCTGAAGTAAAAATTATCAATCGTATTGAATTCTTCTTTCGAATTTTCTTGCTCATCAATTCCCAAAATGTTCAATCCCCTCTCTTCCGATCCATAGACGCTCCTATGTGGAGTTGCTAGACTTTCATTAGATAATGCATTGAAAAAAAACATTTAACAGCTAAATATTTTTTATTTACTTTTTCTATAATGTTAAGTACCTAGCCTAAATCCGGATAGCGATTTTAATAGCGAATGGAGTTGTGCATTCGATATCAAGATATCATAGATGAACTATAATGACAAAGTTTCTAAAAAAAATTGAACACAGGAAGAAATCTTTGCATTTTCTACGAGCTCCTCTTACAAAATTGAAAGTATCATAAAAAATCTAAAAAACGGTTTTTATGATACTTTTGACTTTTTAAGAGATGGTAGTAGAAAATTCGGCGATCCTTCTTTTTTTTTCAGAATACTATACTCTTCAAAATGACATTATTCAAAAATAACTTCGGCAAAGCCTTCTAGGCTGTGAAAACTATCATGTTCAGTTTTTTAGAAACCTTACTATAGAATGCATAGGTGTATTAGGTATTAAAATCACTTTCTGGATTTAAGCTAGATGCTTAATATTATAGAAAAAAACAAAAAAAAAACTATGTTATTGTAAAACTGTTATTTTCTATTAGATTCTGAGCTAAAATATATTTAAAATTATTTTCTTCTAGATGGTGAAGATAGCGCTCCAATTAAAAGCAAATCTTGACAGTGTTACAGATTTTCATATAGAATCTTTCGATGATTTTATCTGGTATATAAAATTAGATTGTACAAAATGTCATACACATTCTGATACATATCATGATATTAATATAAAACAATCATCAAGTATATCTGGAAGTCGTGGTGAAGCTAATTTTTTAATGAAATGTAAATTTTGTTCGCAAGAAGCCAATCTAAATATTGAACCAGTTAAACCACCAATGAATTATACAAGTGATGATTCGGATAATCATACTTTTAAGACACTTGTTATATTTGATTGTCGTGGTATTGAACCAGTTGATTGGCAACCAGGTTAAAAAAAATCTTTTATCATTATATATATGAATTTAATTTAATTTTCTTTTTTCTTTTCATAAGGTGATGGATGGACATGTCAAGGCATTGAATCTGGTACAAAATTTGGTCAAATTGATTTGTCCGAAAATAAAGAATGGATGGATTATGATGAAAAAGCTAAACAAGCTGTAGCAATTAATGAACTTGAATTTAAATTTGTTAAAGTTAAATAAAAGAAGAAAAAAAAAACAAATGTCTTTTCACTTTAAATGTATGAATTTATTCATAAAATAAATGACGAATGATTAAACATAAGGGCACTTAAAGAAATTTTGACCTGTCTCCGTCCATCTTGAACTGATATAGAGATATGAGGAGAAAAAAAAGGTCGACTAACATGTTTTTTTCTTTCTTTCGTTCTTTCTTTCGCACACCTGTCCGTTACAATATTCTTTTTGTCTATTCATTGTCGAAAGACATCAGTTCAATACTTATTTCACGTAATCGATTTCATATTATATTTCTCATTTCAATGTCATCGAATAATTCATTATCATCATCAACAACAAATTCAAATATAAATAGTACATATGAATCATCATTAGATCAATTACGTTCATTATTACCTAATTCAAATGCAAAAGGAATGTCAGATTATGATGTTGTTCGATCAGCGACTGATTATATACAAACACTAATGAAAGATAGTGGTACAGCAAGTTCAAATGATAAAAATTAAGCAACATAATAATTGTCGAAATATCCTGGTTTGTTTTTTCATTGTAAAAGGTGTTTTTTATATTAGTTGTGTCTTTGTGTATTAATAAAAATTTTCAAAGTTACAAAAGGATATGACTTGAGATTAAGTCAAATATTAGTAAGAAAAAAAAATGTAGTGTATTCAATCTATTGTATTCTTTATTTTAATGTTTAACAACAGGGAATTTTTCACGTTAGTGTTAAATCCAAAAAGAATAATAATGAATAAAGAAATATCGTTTATGGCAAAATTTTTGGGTGATATTTCAGAAAATGCACGATCGAATGTTCTTATTGAAATCACAAGACCAAACCTTAATAACTATTATCAAAATTAAAATAGACTGCTAATGCCGAACATGATTATAATTATGTTATTTTCTACAAGAAAAAGTCAAAAATTGTTGAATTTTGGTTTCAATAATTATTTTTCATTCATTTTGAAATTAATCAAGAGATGTAATATGGCCGCCAAAGTATGAAGATTATTACTTATCCTCATCTCAAATACAAGTGAAAAATAACGTCTGTGCTAATTGATCCCGATGCTTTGTACTGAAATGAAGCTTGTTTTTTTTCTATGTTGCTCTTAAATAAATCGTCTAAGAACAATGAGATAGATGCACAAGTCGTTCGATTACAATTCCTCGACGGCTGAAACAAATAGTACAAAAGAAATAAGTCTAACAAAATAATAAATTTTTCTTGTGAGAGATAACATAGTGATACATTTGAACAGTGTTATTAGTCTATTAAGATTTCGAAAGTAGTTGTTGAGATTTGATCTTGTGATCCGAGTAGAATATTCAATAGTGCATATTTTCAAAAACGAAAGGATCAATTTTCTGAACAGAGTTATTATGTCATAATATGATATTAAAAATATAAATCTTCTATTAACATGAAATCAATATGAAATAACAAAATTTATTTCCAATATCAAAAATAAATATATTGAAGTTTTCTATTCTACTTTATAAAAGAATTATATGTGAAGTTTTCATTTATTTCTTGTTTGTTGGTCATTATTTATTCGTTGTTTTGGGTCCGATGCATTCAAATCGTCTATAATTTTCAGTCCTATATAATAATGTTTGCAAGAGATATTCAACAAGCAAAGATTCAAAATAGCTCATTTAGCAATCCAAAATTCTCTATGGATTCTCATCATATTGATTCAATTTTGTATTCTATTTGAAAGAGCATGTCAAAGTGCACTGTCTTTTTGTTAAATTCTTAATTTTTATGCGAAAAAAAACGGATGAAAAGTTCAACATCTCAAGAAACTCTCAAAAATATTAATCTGTTTATAGATATGCTTGTTTTATATAATTACAATAAAGTTTATTACAAGAATAAATGGATTCCATCAAGCACTGCATCTTGACATGCTTTTTCAAACAAAAAAAAAGCAATTGACTATAATGAAGTCTCTTCGAGAATTCTGATATACACGATTAAAAAAAGTAACAAAAAACGAAAAATACTTGCCATTTTCGTGAAAACAGTATATTATATGAAAGATTAGATCTCAGGATATTATCTAACTTTTTGATTTTTCTGACAAGAATTGGTTTGAATAATTTTCCTTTTTTTTTTTGTTATTGATGTCATCCAACATCGATGAAGTTTTATTTCGAAAACCAGTGACATTTTTTTCTATACTATTCATCTTGTCTTCTCAATATATTTCTAATTAAGTTTTATATTAAAACAAACAAAGCAAAAAATTACTGATAGCATAATTATAAGCAATAGTTTTTCGAAGATTTCATTTTTGTTTAACAAGATTTCATTCATCCTTTCCGATTGCATATGGAGTTAAATAAAAACTATACAGTAATACATCTAAGTTTTAGTTTGATTGAAACAAAAAACAATTTAATCAACGGTATTTTCAATATTACAGACGCGTTCCATCGGAAGATATCTGTTCCAATCAAGAAAGAAGGACCAAATTTAAATAGAATATCTTAAGTTATGTATTCTTCATGATTCTATCTAACAATTTACAAGAATGTGAATGTCTTGTTCTCTAACTATCCGTACATCTACACACTTTACTTCATGTTGAAAATGGTCGCAGAGAATTTATTTGATTTATCTTCTAGTAGTATTTTTTTTAATAGTTATCCAGAGATTGGCAAATCAGAGTCATTTGAAGTTAATGGAAAAGAACTAAATTCAAGTCCATTATAAGTAGACATGATTTGTTTGTATTCCTCTTCTCGTAATTCGACATCAATTCATCGTTGAAATATATTAACTTTCGATCTACAATAGCTGGTAAAATGTACTAAATCAAAATACTCAATTACTAAATTTCGGAAAGTAACAGTTCATTTTAAGTGAAATACTAAAACAATGCTATGCTGCTGGGCAATGGTTATCGATGAAAAAGATTCATTTAAGTCGATCATTGATTAGAAAATACTTCAAATCAACATCTTATACGCTGAACGAACACAAACGATGTATATGGATCGATTATGATACGTAATCAAGATTTATTTCTGCTTGGTCCTTAGTTCTTCGACACTCATTATCCAAATTTTGGACAAGACTATGAACCAGTATAATATCTGATATGTCCATTGTTGATCATATAGGACTGTCAAATTTTTTCATATTTGTGCTTGAGTTAATCTATTTTCTTCTTCGGTCTGAATAACAAGAGCTGCTCGCAAATCGAAAACTTCAACTATGTTGAAATTTTTTATATAAAAGTGTCTGATGTATTTTCAACTGAAAGTAATTATACTGATAGTGAACTTTGAAGAAGAAGAGGTACATTAGATAGTCAAAGACGCTGAAATTGTGATAAAATTAAACAACGAATCTTTTTAGCTGGAACGCTCTAATCAAACAATTACTTTCTCGTAAAGTCTTTTTTCTTTGACATTTCAGTATAATTTTCTCATGACAAACAGCATCACGGTGTAGATTCCCTCCGCCTGCGATAATACTTCATATCTTCCGTTGACATCCAAATAATATAGGAAACAAACTTGTTTGATGAAGTTGCTACAAATGTACAAAGTCGAATCAAGATAGGATGCATGCATTTATTTATTTGTACTAAAACATTGAATGTTACAATAGGTTTTTAAAAAAATCTTCAAAGTAGATATTTAAAAAAAGAACGACCTTAGTCAAATTTTGATATTTATACTATCAAAATGAAATGATAGAAGATATTTCTTCTATTTAAGAGTCAATTTAGAATAATTGGTAAAGTTTATTTTATCACGAATAATGAGTTGAATAATATATATTAGTAATATTCTTGATTATTTGTATCTGAACGAATTGATTATATGTATAACATAGATGTTGTTTGGATTTGTTGTTAATCGAGAAAAAATGGTATGGTATTTGAATCAGGGTCAGCGTGAAGTACCAAATATGGAGGGTAGGGGTATGGTCGGATTGGACGATATTTTCGTGTTGATTGCCATAGCAATGAGTAAAACGAAATGAATTTCATTCAGTTCTGCCAAGTAAAGTTGATTTTCTTGCATCTTGGGAGAGGTCACGCCAACGCTGATTCGGCCTTCAAATTAAGGCACTAATATCCTATAACAACAAACATAAGGTTGTAGTCGTCCCATTGGTCCACTTGGGATGCAAACACAATAACAACAGCAGCACATATGCATCGTGTGATAAATTAGAAAATGTCGCTTGTGTAAGAAACCGTTGTTTGCAATTATTTGTATGCCGTGTAAATGAATACGAATGTAGTGTAACTTGTTATTTATATGTGTCTATCGATATTGAGTTTCGAGGAAATCATGTATGTTTTTGCCAACATAATTAATATCATCGACGGCAAGGAAGTAAATGCAAGTAATTATGATTCAGTTCGTCTATGTAATCAGTTGAGTTAGCGACGAGTAGTATTGAAAATAAATGTTACGGTCGTCCAAATATTTGTAAGTATGCGAGCAACTTGGAAAATTACCCAAGAGTAAACTATTTCGCAACCATGTAAGTGTGGGAAAAAAATATTAATAACAGTCAGCATATTATTTCTTCACAATGTCATAAATTAATTGAAAGATGGAAAAATTAATGTGAGCATAACGATATGATTTATCACTGTCAATCAATCTCCCAATGATAATTCATGCTTGTTTTCTGCTTGACTGTATTGCTTGCAACGTTCTTTCTTCTTTGATGTATCATATGTAATCATGCGCTATGCTTGAAAATTGCTAATAGATCACTATGTTGTTTTTGATGAAGATATGAAAGTTGAATTTATACCAATATTCAAGAGACAATCGAGTATACACTACTGAACAGAGCTAGCTTTTTTGTTATTCAATGCATTCTGAATATTGGTAAATTTTCCACACATATTTTTTAAAAAATAGACTAAAAAATTCATATTTTGTTTTATCAATGAAACCAAAAGAAAAATATCGTATTGTACGAGAAGTCGAATGAGAAAATTTTTTCCATGTTAGCTATAAAATAGTTTTTAGAAAAAAAATTAGTATTTTGAAAGTACTTTTTGAATCAAGTCTAAAGCTTCTTGGCTTCGACGGTTAGCTTCTTCAAAGCGATCTAGTCAGTATATTTCTTCTCACATGATTCATTGTAACATATTCAAGACTTTACGAAGTTGAAGACATTGAGCAATAGTTCACTTTTCGATTCTTCATCGTTAATCTATTTGAGAGTCTCATTCATAGTTATTAATCAACTAAACGTAACGAATAAAATTCATAATGACATTATAATAAAAATCGTACGATCACATCTATCATGTTCTTCTATATGGTATGAGCAATGTAAACATTTTTTTTTCAGAATTTTTAACAATCCATCGTCGACTAGATGCATAATCTCGATCGATTATCATTGAATATTCTTCATAACCGAAGTCAATCATGTTGAATTGTACACAACCATACACTAATTAATTATGACGAAAAACTGCACCCGAATACAGTGCCATTTACGACGAGCGCAAATGATGATTAACGATATTGTTCAATGTAACCCTGTGGGGAGGAGAAGAGGTGACCAGAGCTGAATTTTTTGACGAAAACAAAAGTAGCTCGAGCATTTTGTGACATATTTAGATCGACGCAATCCTTCGTACTGATTATTCTGACCAAAACTGATTAAATATTAGTCTCAAAGAATACCTTTTAGCATTTATGAACATGTTGCATTTGATTAAAGTGTCTTGCCTAGAAATTAAACTCGGTGCAATAGTATCATTTTTCAGAATATTGAAATGCCTATCGAATGATATGTCATTCAGAGTAGATCACTGCCTTTCACAGCTCAATAGCAAGGAAGTTTTGTCAAAGATATCTTCATGTTGTACATACAAGCGAACAATGTCATGTAAAAGAAAAAGAAGAGAATAATATTTTACCATATTACTATATACCATTTAATAGGAAAAGAATGAGTAAAGGAGCTGAAGAAGAGAGAGAAACTTTTCATTTAAACACTACATTGCATGATATTATCCGAAATCAATAAAACCAAGTTTCGGGTCAACTCCAGGGCAACTGGAATGAAGCCTAGCACGCTAATTCAAGCGAGAATTGACTATTAAAAAAACAAGAAAATTAATTTCGAAAAGGGCCGATTTCATTGCTCAGCTACTTCCTCGTTTCTCTCTTTGTTCGTGGACGCACACGAGTAGATATTTTATACTATCGTTATAGTACTTTCGTGACCAGAAACAAAAAATATAAAATCAACTCAAGTGTTCTTCGTCACATTCTTGTCGTTTTATATCGACTCATAAAAAAAAAGAATCTTAGTTGTTCTTTTAATATTATGTGCAATAATAGTAAACAAATTTTTACTGAAACAAATTGTACTCAACATTTGATAATCATTTTTTTTTAAAGAATAATTGATTGAATAGTTTCATTGTTGGTTCAGATAATATATTTTTTTTCATAAGATAAAACGCAGCAACAATGATGCACGAATCACTGTAATTAATTATAAAACTAGTATCAAGATAAACATAACAATCAAGGAGAAGAATATCTACTAAACCTACTTGATAAGATATAATAAAAAGAAAAGAAAAAGCATACGGAATACACAAAACTCACTCATATTAAAAATGAGATCTCATAAAAAATAAGTAATACAAGAAGAATATAAACTCTCCTTGAATAACAACAAAGAAAAAGCATTCCTTCTCTATCATCTTAGAGAAGAAAATTCTTAAAACTCTAGTCAATTTGTTTCTTTTTGAATAATCTATTACTAATAACAGTCCATCTTCTCCGTATTTATATTTGCTATCATTGCTGCTTGTTCATTAAGTATAAGTGCTTTATCATGTAATTGTTGATGAACAAGTTGTACTTTTTGAAAAAGCATTGCACGAATGTCAGATAATTGATATGGACTAAGATCAAGTTGAAATGCTTCTTCTGATGATGGTTCACCTCCAGCATCTTTTCGATAATTATTAAATAATGAACTATGTAATGCATCTTCAGCTGTTAAACGTTTATGTGGATCCATTAATAATAATTGATCAAGTAAATCAAATGCAGCATCATCAATATTTGGTACAATAGAATCTGATAATAAAAATGGTTTAGGATGACAATTTGTACATTGTGTTGATATTCGATGAAGAGCATTTAATGATTTATCTGATATTGTTGGATATGCTATTTTATGTTCATGAACAGGAAAACCTAATGAACCACAACGACGTTCAACAATAAGACGTAATTGATCAAAATAATGACGACCAGGAAATAATGGTTGACCAAATATAAGTTCACCAAGAATACAACCTACTGACCACATATCTATAGCTGAAGTATATGTTCCATCACAAAGCATTAATTCAGGTGCACGATACCATCGTGTACATACTAAAATAATTTTGTTAGATTAAAAAATTTTTTTATTTAAATAAAAATAAATAATTTACCATAACCAGTCATAGGTGTATTAGCTTCTTCTTCTGGTACACGAGCAAGACCAAAATCTCCAATACGTACATGACCATCAAGATCAACAAAAATATTACTTGGTTTTAAATCTCGATGTACTATAATTTGATAGAAAATATGAAAAAATATTTTTATATTAATTATTATATCATATGATTATACTTACAAACTTTAGCTGAATGAATAAATTTCAATGCTCGTAATATTTGATAAAGAAAATGTGGAATATGACTATTTGTAATAATACGTTTATCTGTTGATCGTTGATTATTCATTTTAATAAGTTGATGAAGATCTAAACGCATTAAATTAGTTACAATATAAATTTCACGCATTTGTTCAATTGTTGTTGCTGGTGTATAACAATCAAGTACTTGAACAATATTATCATGTTTTAATGGTGTTAAAATACATATTTCACGTAATGAACGAGAATAAAATAATTTAGCTTCAACAGCATTTATTGAAGGTAATTTAATTTTTTTAATAGCTACTTTACGTTGAAGTAAAGAATCATATGCTGATATAACTTGACCATAAGCACCTGAACCGATCATTTTCGGTAACGAATAACGAGAACCAAGATGAAATATATGTCCATCAATAATTATATTGGTATTAAATGTTGATGTTTTCGATGTATAACAACGACGAGAACTATCGCGACTAAGATCATCATAGATTGAAGAATCTTAAGAAAAAGAAAGAAGTTAAATTTATTTATTTTTTACAAGTACAAAAAAAAACGAAAGACTTACGATTCGTGTCACGAGGCATGTCTTCGATCGATAGTGAATATTCACATTTAATCGAAGTCTATTTATACATAATCATGACACGGTATAAAATGGATAGAGAGAGAGAACTTTTCATGTGTTTGAATAGTAAAGATTCATTATTCGACATTGTTTTATGCCTTGATCTAGGCATATGTATTCATCATATAATCGATTCGTTCTATCATAGAGAAAGAATGATATATACAAAGATGAAGATGACATATTGTTTATTATAAAGAAAAACAAAACAATTGATTTTGAATAAATGAATTACGGTCATTTGATTCTGTTTTCAAATGGAAAATAATTGAAGTAGCCATTTTTTTTTAAAACAAACATCTAGTCATATGTTTCTTTTAAGTGCATAAATAAATTATCATTATGTGCGAAGATAAATCATCGATTCTTCTATATGATACACACACCCCTTCGCATATAGCACAGATTGAGTATGATAGTGTATATACCGTATAAAAGCACCCTTTCTCAGTTTTACTTAATTTCACATAAAATAATTTTTTTAGTTACGAAAAAACTATATAATGATATTTATATCTTAGGAATTGATCAAAAAAAAATACTAGACAAGCCATCACAAATAAGAAATGTAACAGAGTCTGAGAATTAAAGTGACAGAGATAGAATTTTGAATATAGGCCGACCACCAGAGATCGAACCGAAGCCAATCGATATTCGGCAGATATGTTCATAGCCATAGAACAGTTTTCAAACTTTTACTTCATATGAAAAGTATACTGTGAAGTTTCTGCCATAAACAGTAACAAAAAAGATGAGTAATTCACGATTCACTTGGTGTCTTGTTGCTTCTAAAATTTGATTAAATTCGCTTAGTATACGCTTGTTAGTTGTTGGTGATGCTGGAATAGAATGTACTGTTGGTGTCAAACATCATCATTGTGGATACATATATGAATGCGTTTTCCATCATGATAATACAAATGTACCTTTTTGAACTTTATTGTATGATTCATCATTATGTATAGATAAATTTCCATTAAACATTCAAATATTAACGAATTGTTTGCAAGATACTACACAAAACTTCAAGAGATTTACTGAAAAATATATTTTTCATTTTGCTTAAAAACATAACTCGACTTATTGTCTTATTTGGAATTTTTATGCTAGTTGACCAATAGTTTCGAAAGATACTGGAAATAGGTTAAGCAGATGTTTCAAAAAAACTGCAAAGTATACAAAACAAACAATCATGTAGCATACTAATAAAACATAGTAGATAACTATAAAACGATAAATTTTGTTGCTTTTTTGAAAATGTTCGTAATCATCATCATGTAGTAGTGCATACTTGTATGAGAGGAACATTTTAATGGCTATACAATTTTCACTTAGAAAGTGGCAAACTTGTTTAACAAATATCAGATACTGTCATCTCCTGTAAAGACGAATTTCGTAAAAAATATCTGTTACATAACAAAAGTTTATTCAAAGAAAGTCGTATTCATTGCATCAAATGTGAAAAACCTGTAAATAATATTTAAATCGTTCATGATTCTAAGATAATATTTTTCTTGAAATATAATCAACCATAAACAAGAATTTACATTGTTACATCTTACAGTTTAAGGCATATCAAATATGATGAGAATTGTGTTTTCAGATCGTATTTATTTATTACATTTCGATGCTGTTCAGCATTTTTTCTTGTCTTAAGCTAATTGTACGTAACGAATTGAAAATGAAACTTAATATCATTGAATATACTTCGGATTTGAATAACTGATGATCAAAAAGTAATTAAACAAAATGTTGATTTATTTTTCAGCCTTTTTTAAGGAGTCTGCAGAAATTTCAAAACATTAGGTTATAAACAGAATTTTGTTTTCTTTACAAATATAGATTCAAAATGTTTGTACAACCTTCTGGTTTAGAACTTACGTGCCCACTTTTGAAAGTCACAAAAATTGACAACTTTTACTGTTATAGTCTCCTGTACTGTATACACTATATTACTGATTTCTGTTGCATAGAACTAAAGACAGATTTAGTTTCTACAAAGTGATATAAGAATTAAGTATTTCAAAAATGTCCAAATTCTCTTTGCAAGTCTTTTTTCCATAGAAATCGAAAAGATAATCTAAATTAACATGATGTTCCTTTACCAAAACATTCGTTGTCAACAAATGACTTAGAGCTAATTAATCATGAATATACTATTTCATTTACAAATGTTTGGTCTTTCACATTCTAAATATTTAAAATAATTTTCATTTCAACTTTGAGTCATTTATAACGTGCGAAAGTAATTTACGGGTCTCTAAAAAGTCGCCTTATGACTATATTCGGCAAGAACACAAAATTCTCATTTTAGCTAAATGTCCTTAAAGATCTGCACACCCCTTCAAAATCATTTAAGTAAAATCTAGCAAAATTATATATGAATTCTGGTTATACTAGTTTTCTATTTATTTTTAGAGTAATAAAAATCACCGCATAAAATAAAAAGCGTAATATTTGATTAAACGAAAAAAAAAGTCAAGGATCTAGTTTTAAAGTTTATTTGCACATGTTCATTTGCAAGTTCCTGGACTACAACAACAACCAGATGATGATTGATCATTTGATTTTTGTTGATTGGATACTCCATTAGTTGTATTCGGTATTTGCTAGAAAAGAAAAAGATTACAACAAATCAATTTTTCTCTCATATTCTTATACCTTTTCATCAGTAATTGGTTCAAATTTAAAATTATCACCGTATCTTGATATATATAACATTTTAGTCATTTCAGCATTAAGATATTGCGGTTCGCCATGAAACTAAACAATAAAAATAATCATTGAATACGTGCAACTATCGAAACTATACTTTGAATGTAATCGATTGATCAAATTGAAATTCCTTTTCATAATGAACAATTGATGTTTGGTAAGTTACCAAAGCACCAAGTTTATTATTGGAAATTGTTGATTCGTCAAGAGATTTATTCTTAAATAAGCGATAAGTACACGATGTGAATTTGATATCGCCTATACGAATGTATATTTTTTAAAGTTAAATGAGAAAAAGAAAAGTAGACAAGAAAACTCTAACCAAGTAATTTTTGTAATTCTACGTTGTTGACACCAATTGGTTGTGTTGTTACCAATATTGGTCGTGTAAAACCAACTTCAAGTGCACCCGAAACCAAGTCACTTTCACAGATAGCACCACTTAGACATTCACCTATAGTAAATATTTAAATATCTATCGTTAAATGGAATAATGAATATGATATACAGTGTGTATTTTGAAATATATAAAAAGCTCAATTTGAGAAAGATTTCAAGTATTCATTTCAAAATATAATGTATTCTACTGTTTTTCGAATAACTTTTCATAGAAATATCGTAGAGGCCTACGGTTTTCATCATTCGAGAGAGAACATCTGGGATCATCGAAGTAAATTGAAATTGGATTAGCCAGCAGCTGACTAATCAGATGATATTTTCCAAGACAATATTCTGAAGCTATTTGTCTTTTAATAGGATTAATCAATCCTCAAATCTTTCGATTTCAGCCAATTGACCAGTGATCTTTCGGAAAAGCAACAATGAATAGGTAATTTACCATGCTGAGTCGAATCGTGATATTTATGTTTTAGGTTAGAAAATGATCTAACACAGTTATCTTAATATTTCCGAAATGTTGACTCTTTCGTTGCATGAAGACTAATTGTGGAATTTCAAAAATATTGATATAACTCAGGAGAAGTCTTATTACTCTCGAATCAGACAAGCTATCAATATCGGTTTATGTAGATCGAAAGATAACAATTTTTCTATCGACATGTTATATTAAAGTCAAAAATCTAAAGAAAAATAGCTTTACAATATCGTTTTCGAAAATCTCCTTCAAGAATTTATCTCATTGGTCAACTGCCGGTTCTTATCAAAAGTTATTCCAAAAATGTGGAAAACAGTATATTTTACAATGCATAGTTGTTTGAAATTTTGCACATCCACCATATTACAAGATAATATTTTATCGAAGTATGAAAAATTTTATGTTCATAGAAATGTAAAATGTCAGGAGACAAAAAAAACAAAACTTTTTTTTTAAAGAATCTTACCCCATAGAATCTTATTTTGTCGTAAGTCTTCTGGTACCGGTCGATCAGCATAGACATCACTGAAGTAAAATTCACCTCCAGGCTATAACACAAAAATAAACTTTCAATATATTTGTTTCATGTAACTTTTATTTCATATTATACAACTAAAATCAAGATTAACGATTGTCCTCTGAAATGACTCGCTTTTCGACAAAATAATTCATGATAAGTAATCTACCTGAAACTTTGCATAGAGACAGGTTCTTACGAAAGTAATTTATTGTGAAAGCTTCAGGTCATTTGATTTACTCCTATCCTGAAATACGAAGATCGAATCTACTGGTTTCTGTGAGCAATGTAACAGACACCCGATGATCATAGTAGTACCTTAGAATAAGAATATTGACAAGATTTGTAAAATTTACAAAAACTATTCCTGTTAACGTCTGTTTCTATGCAAATTTTCAAGTCGCAATTCAAAAATACCATAAAACTACAGTATCTTCGCATCAATAAGGTAAGGGCACAAACTCTTTTTCGGGTATCCATAGCTCATTTGGGTCTATAGAATGCATTTAGTTACAACTCAAAATCGATTTATTAGTTGAGAAAAACTGTCCTCGTAAGATTTCAATATTGTTATCTCTTACAAAGAAATGACTCAAAGTCAAGAAAAAGCACACTTTATTTCTATCCATAAATTAACTTACTTTTAACATTTCATATACTTGTTGTAAAACTTTCTTCTTATCAGGACTTAAATTAACAACACAATTCGATCTAAAACAATAATCATCAGATTAAGTTAAAAAAAAACCACAATGAGATATACATACACAACAACATCAAATGAATTTGTTTTCAATTCAGGATCATCAGTAAGCTGTTCAATTTTACCCAAACGAAATTCAACATTGGCTTTTTCAAAACCAAATTCTTTTGTATGATAATCAACAAAACGATTAGCAACATCAAGCTAAAAAGAAAAGAAATTACTCGATACTGATTGATATGAATTCTGAAATACTTGTTCTTTCGTCATATCAACACCAACAGAATATCCTTGAGCTCCAACAAGACTTGATAAAATATAAACATCACGACCAGATCCAGAACCAAGATCTAAAACTCGACATCCTTCAAGTTTTGGTGGAAAGACTAAGCCACATCCATAATATCTAATAAGAAATAAAAATTCAAATTCAATATTTTGGAGATACTTTTCTATACAGTAGAAAGTCATTTTATTGAAATTTTAGCTATTAACACTGTACTATTAGTCTTTCGAATGTATCTAGATAAAGTATATACTATAGAGAGCGTCTTTGTATTTCAATTTTAAATTGAAAATATTTTTTCATGCATTTATTTTCCCTAGTGGAAACTCACTTTGCCACAACCTCTGGATGGATCTTTTTGAGAATGTCTTTGATAAAAGAAGGAACTTGAGCCTTTGAACAACAAGCATCTGTTTTTAAATCACTTGATTGTTGTAGTTGTTGTCCATAATAATTTTGCACGTCTTCATGTACATTCGTCATGATGATATAACTTGCTACGTCAGTGAATATGCAAAAAGATAAGGTATAGCACTGTTGCTTTTATTCACCTCGAATGTTTTTTTCGTGTGAGTCATATATGATCTAAAGTACTTTTTTATCATTTTTCCGCTTGTGATTGGTCAATGAAAATGCACTAGATACTTTGCGTCTGTATGACAAGGTAAAATTTGATGCACAAAAATGCCAATCATTTACAGTCAATAATAATAAAAGCGACATCTAAGTCGTCGCATAAGATTAGAACACAAAAACAATAGAATAGTCAGTGGACAAATCAGGATGAGTCATCGAATCAATAGCAAATTTCGAACACACTAATGCACTTAGTAGTGCACCATTTGTGCCAATTTTTAGAAGGTTTTTCTTGATGTCATTTNAAAAAGTCAATGTTGAATTTCGTTTGGGTAAAATTGAGCAGCTTACTGATGATCCTGAATTGAAAACAAATTCATTTGATGTTGCTGTGTACGTATATCTCATTGTGGTTTTTTTTTAACTTAATCTGATGATTATTGTTTTAGATCGAATTGTGTTGTTAATTTAAGTCCTGATAAGAAGAAAGTTTTACAACAAGTATATGAAATGTTAAAAGTAAGTTGATATATTCATTGAGGTATATTCTAGGAGAAAAAGATGAGATTTTGAGACTGAGAAGTACGGTACTTCAAAATGTAAAGTTCGAATAATTGTTTTTTAATTCATAGCCTGGAGGTGAATTTTACTTCAGTGATATGTATGCTGATCGACCAATTCCTAAAGAGTTACATAGCAACAAAATTCTTTGGGGTAAGAATGTTTTACATGATTTTTTTTTTGATCGATTTATATGTTGAAATAATTTATTTATTTTTTTCTAATTAAATGACTAAAATGATTTTCCACTTCTGTATATAATCTAGGTGAAGGATTGAGTGGTGCTTTGTTAGAAAGTGATCTGATCGCAACAGCACTTGATATTGGTTTTACAAAACCATGTTTAGTACGAAAAAATCCGATCAATGTTATAAACGAAGAATTGAAAAAATTAGTCGGTTAGATTGATTTATTTACATTCTTTTCTATTAATTAGTCAAATATACGTATTTAGGTGATATCAAATATGCTTCGTGTACTTATCGTTTGTTTAAGAATAAATCGATTGAAGATCTAACTACATTTGATAATAAGTATGGTGCATTGGTAACTTACATAACACCAATAACTAATTATGAACATGAGCTTCAATTCGATCAATCAATTACGTTAAAAGTATAGTTTGTAATATTAATTGGTTTTTTTGTGATTATGATATTTGTTTAGCTTCGTGGTCAACCTCAATATCTTAATGCTGAATTAATCAAAATGTTGCGCATATCAAGATATAGCGAGAATTTTAAAATTGATCCAGTGACTGATGAAAAGGTAAGAGAGATAAAAAGAAAACATGACTTTTTCTAATTTTCTTTTGTAGGAAATATCAGATTTAACTACTCAACATTAACAGCCAAACAAGTGTCAAATGGTTAACTCTCATTAGATAGCTCTTCTCTTTAAAAAACTTGCTAGAAAAGGCATACTACTAATAAAGATTCTACAATAATAGTTTATTCTCCTGAAAGTATTTTATTGGGTATAAGTACCTCTACATTATACAGAATAAAGAATTTTTTCATAATTTGAATAATGTTTTTCATATTTTAATTCTATTTGTTCGAATCTGACGTAAACATCGGAAAAAAACAAAAACAACTTTACAATAGTTGTTTTTTCTACCATGTACTCTGCTCAAACAGATTTTGTTCAAAAGTTCTGAATTTATCTAAGAAAGTTGGTGTAGTAGAGTTCTTTATATGCGCAAAGTTTCAGATCAAAGCTCGAAAATACGAGTTTTCAGAAAACCTAGAGAAGTATCTTTTATAAGATCATTTATACTGCTTGTTGGAGATAAAGAAATCTTCCCAATCATAATTGTAGACTATTTTTATGAAAAAAGAACTTTCTCTCGATCGGATATTTGAAAACTTGTGATGGCATCTTACAATTGACAAAATTGTGTCATAATCTAATTTTAATAAAGTTCAATCACTTCACTCATCTTGAGAGATACTTGCACAGAGTTATTCTTAGATAAGATATCATGTAATCGTCTTCTCTTTCTTGTTACCCTCTTTTTCTTTTGTTCTCAAGCTTTATCAGATACATTTCACATCGTTTAGACAGTATTTATTTAAGTTGACTTCTATCTACTGCAGTAATGATCTGCTGGTATTAGATTTTATACTTTGTCAATCTTGATTGAATAAAATCGACAATCAATGAATTTTTCTCGTTTCAATCTATGTAGTTAGTTTTCAAGTAGCACATGCTGCGAATCGATGTTTTCGCTGTCGGCCGATAGTTTCAAGTACAAATGTGACATCTATGTCTTGATTGAATTCGATGTATAAAATATAAAGCAAATGCATTTCTTTACGAATACATACAGGTCTTTTGATTGATTGTTTTCTATTGACTTGTTATACTCTCTTTATCTCGTTCAAGGTACAAGAGAATAAGGGTATACTATTTCTGTTTATATTTCGACTCGAAATGTTAATTGTATACTGAAAATTTGCACTCATGTCAAATGATAGATTAGAACTTACGAGACATAAAATTGATCTTGTATAAAGAAAAATATTCATTTAAATTTTTTTCTGTACAAATTGTTTATATATTTTGAATGATGAATGTAAAATACAAACATAAAAATTGTTAGAATAGAGAATCCTAATTGAATACGTTATCAATTGGGTTTTAGAAAAGGTGTCATCATTTTCTCTCTCACTGACACTATCAGATTGAAGGAAAATGAAGGGGAAGTTTAATTCCAGATAAGAACAATAAATGGAATAGCCAATGCGACGGATACAATAATATGCAGCAAAAATAAAATTAATATTCCATTATTCCAACGTGCTATAATACTATCATTAATTTTCTTGATATCGAAACCTGATTGTTCAGTTGAACTTCTTGTATTAATTGTCGTTGAAGATGATTTTCGACGAACAAATTGAATGATTTCTAAAACAATAACGATCAAAACAACCCAACCCGACCAAATTGAAAGAATAATAATCATTCCAGTTCGACTCTCATCCATTTGTGCAGCAATAAGAAAAATAGTTGGTATGGATAGAAAAAAAGCCAATACACCTGTCAATCGATGAAGCCAATTAAAAATATAACGAAATGTACCGTTTGGATGACAACGAAAGAGTGCCATCCATGCTTGTACAAGTGCACAGCATACAATAATACCACCAGGAACAGAATGGGCAAATACAAGACCTTCATTATTTCCTACCCATCCACCTTGTGCTTGAACTAATATGAGGAAGAAGCCAAGCAGAGTTACTACTGTGGTCAAACAAGCCAATAAACGATGGATTTGAAACCAATTACTTTCACCTAATAGTTTATCTTTTGAACCAAAACGGATCGTACGACCATAGCGTGCAAATAGAATAGCTGTCGAAGCGAAGACCATCCATGCAAGAATCATAACAGTACCATGAGCATTTTCAAATCTGTTATCTTCTGTTTCAGTGTCTTCTTCTGCATCTTTGGTTGCTCTTAACGTTTCCATCTTTAATAGAAATAAAGTTATTCACAGTGATTTGATATTTGGTGGTGTTGTTTAATCGATTAATGATTTCTATTCATTTCTATTTCTTTGTATCAGCATGAAATACAAGTGAGGTGAATGTAACTTCTTTTTTCTTTTCTTTGTGTATAGAATTATAACAGTAGTTTGTTATTTCTGCAGAGAATGTAGGCAGATTTAACCCAAAAATCAAATATATAAGGCATGACTTTTCTTGAAGTGTTGTTCTTGAATATTATGGTAACTTATGCATAAAAACAAGTAGTAATTGTGTAATTTGTTGACTGATAATAGGAGATTTTATAAAAAACATGTTTGTGTCGTTGATTGCCACGATTGTCAAAGCATTTTTGACAGAGCTGACATTGTCGAGCTTACATGCATACACGTAAACCTCGAGAATTAACCAGACATGACATATTTTTCTTAAATGAATAAGTGTTAAATGCTTTCGATTGCACATAAAAGTTTATTTGAATGATTAGAGAACTTTTTTGCATCATTGCAACAGACAAATCTTCTTATGAAAAACAACTCTCATTAGCATATTTGATGAATATTTATACATCTGTAAATCACAATGTATTTCTTTTGTTACTTAGAAAACAAGTACTAAATAAATCAATCTACGTGGTATAAAATTGACTACATGTTGGTTTTCATTGCTGAAATAAATTAAGACAAAAAATGGGTGACATCTAGTTTTCTACTCATGTGTTGTTGATTCTATATATATATTATATAATTAAGCATGCAAAACTGGCAGACAGTTTAATTGTCTATTTTTTAATATCTCATTAGAAAATTTCAAGTTATACAAAATCATTTATTAGTGTTATAATTAATTTAATCTTTCTTTTTTTTTCTGCGTATAACTCGACCATTAAATGTGAATGACGAAATAAACATACCAGGAAGTCAATAGAAAAGAGAAAAACACAAGAGACCTCAGAAGTATGTCATTATGAAATAAATGCTTTTCTTCAATATAATCTACTATGACTTACATTTTTTTCTCGTTATGGATCATTCAAATAATTAAGCACATGAACAAAGTATTCATTATTTATTGATAAAACATGAAATGTATGTAAATTATATCCTAATAAAATAATACGAAGAAAATGATGATTATAAAAGAAAAATTTGTATTACAAAAAAGAAAACTTTTTTTTTTTTTATATTGATTTGACATTAAAAAAATCTTTGTTCTTCATAATCGCAATAAAGTAAAATTAATTTTTTTATGTCTCCATGAAAGAAATAATGCTCGGACAAACTAAAAAATTCTCGATTGTTTACTTGATTTTGTCATCGCAGTGTTGTTTTGATCAGCGTTGATCGATTTACATGTTGAAGTAAATGTAATAAGCAATCCTAAGCATCGATTAAGAACTCATCAAGATTTTTTTCTTGCCTGATTTACTTATCTCATTACTGGATTTCTTTTTTTTTTCAAACGGTATATGTAAAAACAATGTGATTTCATACGATGCTGGACAGAGAGAAAAACTGCTCAGTACAATTTATCTAAACGTACATAATTTAGATTGATGAGAAAAAAACATGCTGCGATGTCAAAATAGTGCCGTTAGAAGAGAAATCTGTAATCAACCAAAAGCAATATAGTCAGAAAGAGAATAGAGAAAAAGTTAATTGTCGTCCTTAATATTATGAATTCTGTTTGATTATCGAAATGATATCATTGAAATTGATTTCATTTTACTAATGAAAGTAGTCGGAATCTATGAAGTCATTTGTTGTTTATGTTAAATCAATCGTATTCATCAACATTTTCAATTGTTTGATCTCGAAGAGATTTCAAAAGCACAAAAGAAATAAAACAAAGATTCATCATTTCTAATGCATTAATTAAGAAATTATGGATTGAAAATTCTGATTTTGACAAAAATACTTCTCTCGAATATTATTGTGAACTTTTATATAAGCCAAATGTCTTAAATAATTGATTTATGAGCCACATGCATCTGTTCCTAAATTTTCATTTGTATTTTTTAAGAAGTGCATATATTTTTTTCTTCTCGTATTTGCTCTATTTTATCATCTCAACCAACCTCTGATCAGATTTAAATATTTACCTTCGAAATTAAAATATAATAACTCTCAATAAAATACATATCACGATAATCCATTAAAGCAAGCAACAGATATATCTAATGCTTGCCACAGTAGCACTTTTAACAGGAAAAACAACAAATACACAATTTTATCTATAGTAAATTTTTCAAAGAATTAATAACAAAGGGAAATTTAGTATTTGTCTTGCTCTTATGAGAAAATGTACCAATCCAATATTGAACGAAGGACAAACTTAAAATTAAATTATTTCCAAATTTCATACAAACATTTGCAGATTAATAAAATCTTGTTCTAATACATGAAGTACTTTCTTATTACATTTCTGAAGGATTAAGTAACAGAATGATGAAGACACCTGTCGCAAAATAAATAGAGCAAAGCAATCTTCCTGTAATTAGGAACAGGAGGTACATCGTTTTTCACGTTTTAAGTCCACGGAAATTGCGCAAAAAAAACTTTTTGAAGTCATGAAAACACATCGCGTGTTACTTATCCCTTTTCTGATGTTACGAACTGTTATTCCAGAAGATCTATAGATAAAATATGTTAACCAGCAAATGATATTCTTGTTTCAACTTATATAATTATTTTTTTTGCTAAACAAATTTTTGTATGAGGATTCGCAATATTCTGCAGTTTGTC